TCCCCCAGTGAGGGGCTGGGGGCGTGGCTCAGTGGTAGAGCCCCTCCCTAGAATCCCCCAGCGAGGGGCTGGGGGCGTGGCTCAGTGGTAGAGCCCCTGCCTAGAATCCCCCAGTGAGGGGCTGGGGGCGTGGCTCAGTGGTAGAGCCCCTGCCTAGAATCCCCCAGGGAGGGGCTGGGGGCGTGGCTCAGTGGTAGACGCCTGTCTAACATACACAAAGCCCAACATTCCATCTCCATTACTTCCAAACCAAATCCAAAACACTAAGACTCCCTGGCTGTACTGTGGACGCATGCATGGGTGCTTTGTCTTCATTTATGTCTGTGTAGTACATGCATGCAGTGCCCACAGAGGCCGGAAGAGGGTGTCAGATCCCCTGGAGCTGGAGTTCCAGGTGGTTGTGGGATACCATGTGGGTGCTGGGAACTGAATCCAGGTCCTCTGTAAGAATGGCCAGTGAGCTATCTTCTCCCAACCCCAACCCCCCCCACCCCCCTTTTCTTTTTTTGAGACTGGGTCTCATGAAGTCTAGGCTGGCCTCAAATTCTATATGTAGCCAGAGATGACCTTAAAGTACTGGTCTACTTCTGAAGTGTGGGCACCACCATGCCTGACTCTTCCTTGCCCTGTGTCAATGCAAAAGCCAAAGAAGCCCAGATACCCTCAGACATCCTCTTCCCATGATTCCAGAGTCTCAGACATCCTCTTCCCATGATTCCAGAGTCTCAGACATCCTCTTCCCATGATTCCAGAGTCTCAGACATCCTCTTCCCATGATTCCAGAGTCTCAGATATCCTCTTCCCATGATTCCAGGGTTTCAGATATCCCCTTCCCATGATTCCAGGGTCTCAGGCATCCTCTTCCCATGATTCCAGGGTCTCAGGCTTCCTCTTCCCATGATTCCAGAGTCTCTTTCCTGACGAATTCTCTTGTTTCTCTAGGTTGTTGTCTGCAGTCCAGGCCCTCTGCGAACGTAAGTACAGAGGCACAGGGAGAAAGATGAAGGGATCTGAGTGGTCCGCAGACCCATTTCTGGAACTTTCTCACGGGGGCAGGGCAAATAGCTGCAATGTGGTATTAGGAGCTGGGAACTTCCAGGTCCCCAGCTTTCGCACCACTGGACCTTGAACACTCGGCCCACGTGCCTCTATCTCCCCAGTGATGGGATTACAGGTGGGTGCCACTGCATCCAGCCTTCTCTCAGTTTTTTGGGGGACATCTCACTATGTAGCCTAGGCTAGCCTCTGATGATCCCCCTGCCTCTGATGCCAGAGTGCCAAGGTTCCGAGGCATGCCTACCTCCTAATCCCTGCCTATGGCCACTGCTTAGGAGCCAAGTGGGCTGGCTCCTTGAGTGCCTCACTTCACCGGGAAGACCATTTACTTGATAGAGGCCCTGACTGAAGTGTCATGTCTGCTGTCCCCCTTCCAGAACATCCAGTATTCATCTGCGAACGGTGTCTCTATCCAGAACGAGGAGTCAAACAGCATGACGTGACGGTGCTGGGGTAGACAGAACTAAGGAACTTGAAGACTTAACAACTGGACCTCTACTCCCATAAATGAAGAATCCTCCAGAGAGACTGGCCGCCCAGTGTGATGAGCGTAGCAAGTTTGGGGAGTCTCCCAGGATGCTGCCGAATTCCACGTTGTCAAAGGGACTCATGGAACCCAGTGTGTGGCTCACACTTGACATCTTGGCCAGCTTGGGGGACAGAAAGCAAGGTTAAGTCTCGCTTGGGTTATAGAGCAAAGCCCTGGCTACACAAAGACAAGCTAACGGGCTTTGAGACGGTCAGAAACTGAAGTCTTTCTTTGGGTAAGGTAAATCTTCTACCTCATGTATGTGCTAGACTTGAAAGACTTCCACCCTGTGATTCAACTGCACACTCTCTTTATAAATTGACTCACTTGGGGCTATCCCCTCTCTCCTCTCTGGACAAAATCTCAGTATGTAGCCAAGGCTAGGCTCAAACTCACAGAGATCCGTCTTCCTCTACCTCCCCAATGCTGGAGTTAAAAGTGTGTGTGCCACTGCAGTTTTCTAGGTCTTCTTTTTGATGAAGTAAATTATATATTTATAAAAAGCTATATAGTTAGTTACATATATATATATATATTTTTGAGACTATTTCATAGAGCACAAACTAACCTCAAACTTACTACGTAGCCAAGAATGATGGTAAACTAACTTATTTTAATTTATTTGTCTTCAAGTTTAAATATAGCCCAGCCCCTTCCCTCTCGTCTCTCACTCCATTCCGTCTTCTTTTTCTTCCCAGATGCTATTCTGATTTATGTCTTAATTGCAAACATTTTATTGAGCTACTCAAAAATGTGTGAACCACAAATGAAAAAAGAAAGTTTGTATTTGTCAAAATTGTAGTTGTCTTTCTGCGGCTGACTCGATTTCTCCGATACTGTACTCTCCGGTTGTATCCAGTTTCCTGTAACTTTGTTTTTCTTAGTGGCTGAAAAATCCCAACTGCGAGTGCTGCGTACATATCCTTTACCCATTCCTCTGTGGGCAGCCAGCTGGATTGGTCCCACATCTGAGATATTGTGCGTGTAATTGTCTCTGGTGGATTTAGTAAATTCCCAGGAACACCAGGTCCTGTGGTCTGTAATGTTTGAACCAAGGGATAAGAGACTGAGGTACATATTTTACACGTCAAAGCAGACCCTGCCTCCCGGTTCTCCCAGCATCCCTTAGTTCCTACTTAGCATAGCCCCATCCCCAACGCTGAACTTCTCCGGAAGTTCTCTATATAATCCAGACATTTTGATTTTCATTCTCTCTCTCTCTAATTGTGCCCTCTTTTTATTCTCTTTCTCTTCCCCACCTCCCCACGGTGACTCCCCTGGCCTCAGTCCTTGGTGCTAGTGAACTCACCCAAGAGCAGCTTTACAATAAACCTGCATTTAATAAAATCTAATCGGGCTGGAGAGATGGCTCAGTGGTTAAGAGCACTGACTGCTCTTCTAGAGGTCCTGAGTTCAATTCCCAGCAACCACATGGTGACTCACAGCCATCTGTAATGAGATCTGATTCACCTCTTCTGGTGTGTCTGAAGACAGCGATGGTGTGTCCTCAAATAAACAAATCTCAAAATAAAATAAGATAAAATCTAATCTGGCTTGAGTGGGCTCATTTCACCAGTGAACAAATGACGTATCATGAATATTCAGGTTTTTAGAGAAAGTACATCCAGTGTAGGGATGGACACACACCTGCACCAGCAGTCATACCATGGAAGGGTTCCCTTGTTCTTCAAGGGTGTTTGCTGTTGTTTTCTCCATGACTGCCATTCTTACTGGAATGAGGTGAGGTGGAATTTCAGTGTGTGTGTGTGTGTGTGTGTGTGTGTGCACGCAGAGGCCAGAAGAAGGCACCAAATCTGGAGCCAGGCTTACAGGCACTTGTGAGCAGCCCCACACAGGTGCTAAGAACGCAGTCCAGGCCCTCTGCCAGAGCAGCACACACGCTCTGAATCACTGAGCATCTCTCCGGCCCCTCAGTAGGTTTTCACTTTTTTAAATTACTAATTAATTTTTTGCCTTCTGTATTTGCTTTTTTGAGACAAGTTTCTCTGTGTATCCCTGGCTGTCCTGGAACTCACTCTATAAAACAGGATGGCCTAAAATTCCTCAATATAGGGTTTGTTTTTTTTTTAAGATTTATTTATTTCTGTTATGTACGTGAGTTCACTGTCACTCTCTTCAGACACACCAGAAGAGGACATCGGATCCCATTACAGATGGTTGTGAGCCACCATGTGATTGTTGGGAATTGCACTCAGGACCTCTGAAAGATCGGTCAGTGCTCTTAGCCGCTGAGGCATCTTTCTAACCCCCACCCCCACCCCAATATAATTTTAACTTGTATTTCCCTAATAGGTTATGAGGTTTGATACTGTGATAGTCTGAGTAAAAATGGTCCCCGTGGGCTCGCAGTGAGTGGCACTATTAGGAAGTGTGGCCTTGTTGAAGGAAGTATGTCACAAGGGTTGAACTTTAAGGTTTTGAAACTCAGGCCAGACACAGTATCTCTCTCTCTCTGCTGCCTGTTGATCCGGAAGTAGTTCTTGGCTCCTTCTCCAGCACCGTATCTGCCTGCGTACCGCTATGCCTCCCGCCATGGTGATACTGGCATAAACCTTAAAAACTATAAACCAGCCCCAATTAAATGCTTTTCTTTATAAGAGTTACCCTGGTCATGGTGTCTCTTCACAGCAATAGAAACCCTAAGACAGACATTTTTTAATATCTTTATTGCCATTTGTATTGCGTGTTTTGAGAGCTGACTATTAATTTTGTGAGCCCATTTGTTGATTGGGTTGTTGTTTTCCCATTTGTTTGTTTGTTTTAAACAGGGTCTCTGTGTGGTTCTGGCTGTCCCGGAGCTCACACAGATTCTCCTGCCACTGCCTCCTGAGTGCTGGGACCAACAGTGTGCACCACCAGACACTGCTGAAGAGGAGATCTTGAAGTGTCTTCCCTCCAGTTTCCTCTAATGGTCCCAGATCCTGTGCTTAAAGGACTGGGATCCATTTGGATGTGAGTTTTGTACGTGGTCAGATAAAGGGACTGAGTTTCATTCTTCTCCATGTGGACACCCAGTTTCCCCAGCACCATTTGTTGAAGGAGATGTCTGTCTTAGGGTTTACTGCTGTGAACAGACACCATGACCAAGACAAGTCCTTTATAAAGGACAACATTTAAGTGGGGCTGGCTTACAGGGTCAGAGGTTCAGTCCATTATCATCAAGGCGGGAACATGGCAGCATCTGGGCAGGCATGGTGCAGGAGGAGCTGAGAGTTCTATGCCTTCATCTGAAGGCTGCTAGTGGCATACTGGCTTCCAGGCAAGCAACTAGGGTGAGGATCTTAAGCCATACCCACAGTGACACACCTACTGCAACAAGGCCACACCTCCTAATAGTGCCACTCCCTGGGCCAAGCATCTACAAACCACCACAATGTCTCTTTTCCAATGGGTATTTTATTTTTTAAGCATCTTTATAAAAACCAAGAAATCATTATCTGGGAATGATGGCCCACGCCTTTAATCCCAGCACTCAGGAGGCAGAAGCAGGTAGATGTCTGAAATTAAGTCCAGCCTAGTCTACAGAGTGAGATCCAGGACAGTCAGGGCTACTTGGAAACCCCGTCTCCAAAACAAAACAACCAGAAAACAAGAAATCACCTGGAGCCAGGCGGTGGTGGTTCATGCCTGTAATCCCAGCACTTGGGAGGCAGAGGCAGGCGGATTTCTGAGTTCGAGGCCAGCCTGGTCTACAGAGTGAGTTCCAGGACAGCCAGGACTACACAGAGAAACCCTGTCTCGAAAAACAAAACAAAACAAACAAACAAACAAACAAAAGAAATCACCTGGCTATAGCTGCATGAATTGTTACTATTTTCTTGTCCTCATTTAGCCCAGGTGTATATATAGCTGAGGCTAGCCTTGAACTCTCAAACCTCCTGCCTCCACATTCCAAGTGCCATACTTAGAAGGCACAGACTTAAACTTGTTGGGGGCTGTCGGCTCCAGCAACCTTTTGACAAACCTGTGTCCTGAGAGTAGCCCCGCTGCTGTGGTTAGCTGGAATTGGTGGGTTAACTCACCTGTGAAGGAGCTCACGGAGTATCGTGAGGCACGGTAGCTCAGATGTGGCTGCACGGTATTCTTTAAAAGATCTTTAGGCGTGAGGAGTTGACGCAGATCCCAGCCCACATGTAAGAACCACACGTTCATCAAAGTGTGTGTGCTGTGTACCTCTCTGCAAACACGGGGGCAGGCAGGGCAGCAGTTCCGGTGAGGCAAGAAGGAAATCCTCTTCAGCAGGACTGGAAAGCTGGTGTTGCTTCAAACTTCCAGAGTCCGACACCGGGCAGAATATCTTTTTTTTTTTGGTTTTTCGAGACAGGGTTTCTCTGTGTAGCCCTGGCTGTCCTGGAACTCACTCTGTAGACCAGGCTGGCCTCGAACTCAGAAATCTGCCTGCCTCTGCCTCCCAAGTGCTGAGATTAAAGGCGTGAACCACCACCGCCCGGCCAGGCAGAATATCTTAAACATATTTTAATAAAATACTATTTGGAGAAAGTTCCCCAATTGGTGCCCCAGACCAACCAGTAACCTGAAACCAAGGTTTAATTTGTTTTCCAAGACAGGGTTTCTCTGTGTAGCCCTGGCTATCCTGTAACTTGCTCTGTACACCAAGCTGGCCTCGAACTCAGAGATCCACCTGTCTCTGCTTTCTGAGTGCTGGGATTAAAGGCGTGAGCCACCACTGCCAAGCTAAATTCTTTAAGCCCAAAACCTAGGATTGTCTCACCTCCAAAGATTCCCAAATAGGATACTCAGGTAGACTTAGTTTTAGGGAGCAAATTGGTGAGGGGCAGTCAACTACTGGGGTGGAGGAACATCATCCTGGTGGCCTCCGCTAGGACCAATAGCCCTTACCGTTGCCTAGGAGGAGCCCCTCCTCAGAGTTCGGGGGATCTTCTCAGGGATGTTGGAAGGACCTCCAAATGTTACCGGGTACCTATAGAGAAATACCTGAGAGGCCTGAATAAGTCACCTTTAACGGCTGGTGTTACTGTCCCAAGGAGATTTAGCAAGTTTTGAAGGGCAAACCTATTGCGAGAAGTATTAAGAAAATGGCACCAGCCTGTGCTATACACAGCTACTCTCGGCCGAGCGACCTCGTGGTCATAGCCCTATGGGGCGACTGATTGACTGCGGTTCTCTTACTGCAGACTCGGCTCGCATTCCCACCCGCTGCAGTCAGCGGTCTCAAATCCCAGTAACCCGGTGAAATCAAAACTCTAGAGGCTTGTAATTTATCAGTCAGATTTATATCAGGAAATTCTCACCCCACAAAACGCCCACACAATGAACTCAGAGACAATTGATATTGATACAAGCTGCCCACCTAGATAAGACAAATTGTTCTGTAAATATCTATCCCTTCTATGCTAGTCATAGCTACCTGTGGCTATTTAAAGCCACGCAGAATCTGGATCGTCTTCCTCCTCCTCTATCTTTTTTCTTCCTCTTCTCCCAGTCCCTCTGTCTCTGAAACTTTTAGCCCCGCCTCCCTTTTCCTGTCCAATCACAGGCTTCTTGTATTAATATTTAAATTAATTGGGGAGAAATTCTGCTACACAAACCCTCCACAACTGCAACATATACAGAGAGGTAGCTCTGGACAAGTGCAGCAATCAGGTTTTGTTTACAGAAGTGGGCAGACAGCAGTTAAATGATCAGGCAGTTAACCTGGGTTAGGGTCACATCGTATTGGTATTCTTGGGAATCTTTGCATGAGATGGAATAACCATGGTTCAGTTGCTCACGTGGTCAGAAACCAAGGGTTGA